ACAGCCTAGCGCTGGAAGGGACCTTCAGAGGCCATCTTGTCAACCTCTGATTTTACAGATGAGTAAACTGAGGCACAAAACCGTTAAATCTCGCTCAAACAATAAGCGGCAAAGCCGGGATTGGAGCAATATGACTTACCCAAAGTGGTGAAAAGAAGTGTGATGAGCATCTTTATCGGTCTTGACCCGGAGACACAGCCCCTTCCAGGTAGGGAAGAAACAAACAACTGATGCGTCTTTCTTTGGGACCGGGAAACCACGAAAAGCCAAATGGACCGGGAAAACTTCCTTTCGGGGTTCGGGGGCACAAACCCACACTGAAGCCACGGGGCATAAGTGGCGGAGAACTGGGATAGGACTTCTAACAACCCCATATTCTCAGCCAATCCCAGGCACTCCAGTAGGCTCCGGGCTCTGGCCGGGAAGGGAGGACGCTCAGGGCTCCAGACCCGCCGGGCAAGTCCAACCCAGCAGGTCGCAGAGGTGCCGGGGGCACTTCTAAACACGCTACTTCATCCTGCCCCAATGGCAGAGGGTGCCGGGAGGAAGAGGCCAAGAAGGATACTCGGGAGGGAAGAGCTGTCATCTCCCAGACGCCCGGCTCAACAAGGCTTAAGCAGGCAGATGCTAGCCACCGACCCTGGACGCCTGAGCTCAGCACCGCGGCGATGAGTCTAACACACAACTAGTCCCAACCCCCTCAGAGCCCCGCCCCCTACTTCCCACCGCGCCCAATCCCTCCTCAGTCACTGACCTCAGGCCCCGCCCCCAATCGCCTCAGGGCCCTATCCCTCTCCAAACACGTCCTGAAGGCCCCGCCCCCATTTGGACCCCGCCCCCTATTGCCTCAGGGCCCTATCCCCTTCCCAGGGCTCTCCTGCAGGCCCCACCCCTTCCGGGATCCCGCCCCCTACTGCCTCAGGCCCTATACTTCCCCAGGTACCGCCTGAAGGCCCCGCCCATCCCGAACACCCATGACACCGCCCCCCTCGGCGTTTCAGGTCCCAATCCACCTCCTGGCACCGCCTCCTCCCCGCCATTGCTGGGGAAACCGTCTCAGGACTACTTTCCTAAACGGGTCCAGAGCCCACGCCCCTTCATGACTGAGAGCTCCGCCTCTCCCCTTCCCAGGTCCCAGAATGCCATCCTTTCCTCTCCTTGGGAGTGGCTTGCTTGCTGCCCCCGTCCCAAGCACTGACCCGCACCAGCACTTTCCACCACTCCACAACTCAAGCCTGTTCCTGAGACTCATTCCTCATTTCACTCCGTTCCCTCCTCCCCACTCCCTCCACGCTGGACTCCGCCTCGAACCCAACCCTCTGGCCCCTCCTCCATTCCTCAAGCCCCGCCTCCGGGCTCCCGGAGCTTCAGAGCCCGCCCTCCTGCCCATCTTGCCTTCGAGATCCGGCCCACTGCCACAGCCGCGAGATCCAGACGCCACCACAATTGGTTGAGAAGGGGCGGGAGGCGGGAACTTCCCGGTGCCTCTCTTGTGATTGCCTGGAGACCGTGACCTCGCCGAGTTCGCTCGGGGCGCGGCTGCATAACCCGGAAGTTGTTCTCGTGGTGGCTCGCTCGTATTTCGGGAGGATCAGAAGCCTGCGGTCTCGGTCGCCGGTGGTGCCGCTGAGATGACCAAAGTCAAGAGGGAAGTGGAGGAGTCGGAGGCGGCGCCGGAGAGTTCCGGGGCTCCAGAGCGCACGTACGAGGAGATGCTGTCGAACCTGAACCCCATCGCGCAGCCCCTGGCGTCCCGCCGCCTGACTCGGAAGCTGTACAAGTGCATCAAGAAAGGTGGTCTGGGGAGCGTGGAGAGGCTGCGGCTGTGGGGAAAGGAGGGGAAGCCGGGGAGAAGGGGAGGAAGCCGGGGGGAGGAAGAAGGGGGGAAGGGGAGGAAGCCGGGGGGAGGAAGAAGGGGGGAAGGGGAGGAAGCCGGGGGGAGGAAGAAGGGGGGAAGGGGAGGAAGCCGAAGGGGGAAGGAAGGGGGAAAGAAGGGGAGGCCGGGCTGGAGCCGCAGGCCCGAGCTGACCCCTGCAATCCTTCCAGCCGTGAAGCAGAAGCAGATCCGGCGAGGAGTGAAGGAAGTTCAGAAATTCCTTAACAAAGGAGAAAAGGGGTAAGAGCTGACGACATGGATTTCCCTACCACTTCTTCTTAATCATGATAAAAACTAACGTTTATATAGAATTTTATGGTTTGGCAAAGGTTTTTGCGTAGGCTATTTAATTTGAACTTCAAAACAGCCCTGTGAGGTAGGTGCTATTTATTCTGCAGGAAGTTAAATGACTTGTTCAGGGTCCCACAGCTAACATTTGAGGTAGGATTTGCACTCAGGTCTCTCTGACTCCAACTCTAGCACTCTACCCTCTAGCTGCCTCAGATTAGTATCACCATGTAAGTTCCTCATTGCCTGGCATTTCTGTAAGGCCTTTTCCTCCAAAAACAAGCCTGATTTAGTAATATTGCATTCCACCCAGGTAAGCAAATTAGAACTTTAAGACTTTGGTTCCTTTATCCATTCTGCTGTCAAATATTCATTGAGTGCCTACTGTGTGAAATACACAGATGAGTAAGCCACAAGAGGTGACCTGGACTAGTCAGTACTGCTTGAATCTATAGCCAAGAAGACTTGCTTTCAGATCCTGCCTTGACACTAACTAGTTTGTGACTCTGAACAAGTTACTTAAATCTTCTGAGCATCAGCTTCCTCATCTTTAAAAGTGGGGGTTGGCCTCAGATATCTAAATGTATCATCCTGTTCTCCCCAGTCTAGCAGGGAAGATGGGACATTGATGTCGATCACTAATTTTGCAAGTCAAATTGTCACCAAAAAGGCATATAATGTTTTGGTTGTCAGAGGAAGTTAAGTATATCACCTTACTTTATAAAACTTAATCCCTGGTAATTACCAAGCAAATGTCTTATCAGAGTGAGCAAAATTATAACAATTTATTTGAAAACAACATTGCAGAGAAAAACAACTTTGAAACACTTTAGAGCTTTGGTTAATGCAGTGATAAGCTGTAAGTCCAGAAGCTTGATAAAATGCGACTCGCTTCCTGCACAAAAGCTAAAAATGTAGAGAGAGGCATTCATTTTGGGACACAGCTAATGTGAGAATTTGTTTTGCTAGACTGTGAGTGCTTGTGACATGGGTTTTGTTATTGTTCGATGGGGGTGGGGGATTGTGGGAGAGACAAATTATTTTTTTTTTTTAAAAAGGTATATATTGGGGGTGGTTTGATAACATTGCCTAGCAATGAGTTAGTATTTAACCCAAACCGATGAATTTCAGAAGGAGGAAAAATTGAGCCAGAAAGGAAAAATAACTTGTTCAAAGTCCCAAAAGTCAGGGCCAAAACTCGAACCATTAGCCAAGTCTTCTGGCTAATTCCAGTGCTCTGTCCACTGCACTACTTTTCACAAGCATAATACCCAGGAATTATGTATGCCCTAACCACCTTCTGTTCCTGCCCTTAAGAAAAACCTCTTGACTGGAGATACTCCAGGTTAAGAGATTTTCATTCTGTCAGGAGATGAAAACATGACTCATTTCATTACAGGATTATGGTTTTGGCTGGGGACACACTACCCATCGAGGTATACTGCCATCTCCCCATTATGTGTGAGGATCTGAGTATGCCATATGCCTATGTTCCCTCAAAAACGGTAAGAACTTTTTTGGTAGTTGTTGTCTGCAGTATTGCCTGTTCTAGCAGTATAAAAGCATGTGAAAATGAGAAGATATTTTAGAGAAAGGAATAGAATAAAGTTAATTGATGCTACGTCTTCTGGCTCAGTCCTGGTATGCTTATTCCTGAACCTCTGAAAAGGCATTTCAGAGTTGTCATGGTCATTATTTAAAGTTACTTAGCAAGTAATAACGTTTTTAAAGAAGTTTGAAGAAAAACTAGGCCTTTCTTTTATTCCCACCTTACAGGATCTGGGAGCAGCTGCCGGCTCTAAGCGCCCAACTTGTGTGATCATGATTAAGCCACATGAGGACTACCAGGCTACATATGATGACTGTCTGGAGGAAGTAGAGTCTCTTCCAGTCCCCTTGTAAAGAAAAATAGTGTCATGTCCAAGATTATTTAGGAGACCCTTCTTGACTGCAAAAGACACTGGTATGAGCAAACTGCTTCCTTATGCCTCCAAGGAGCAGGTGGCCCTCCATCATTTCCCCACTAGCACTCCCAGAGATTTTTTTTTTATGAAAGCTCAAACAGTAATTTCACAGAACTTTGGCCAGTAGTATGGTTGTCAAGGCTGTTTGCTACTGTAAAGCAGTGAAATAAAGTTTCGAAAAAATAACTTCTAGTATTTTGAGGGGGAGGTAGGAGGGCGCTGGTTTCATTTTTTTTTCCAAGTACAATAACAAATGGAACACTGGCCCTCCCAGAAGGAAAATGCTGACATAGTGAAAGACTAATCCACCCACCTCTAAAATGAGCAAGCCACAGAGCAAGGCCTCTGCCTCCATTCAGCTCCCACTCATCTAACAGTGAGAGCTCTGACTCCCAGAGTCTTGCTGGAACCTAACACCCCACCCCCCACTCCATTTTCTCTCCTTGCCACAGGGGTCCCAAATCATTCTACCCACCATTGGGATCAGGACACCTACGTACACAGCTTGAAATAGATTTTCAAACCCAAGTCATAGTAAATGTAACAATTGTTGGCAGCATCATAGCACCTTGCTGGATCCCAACTTTGTTGTTTAAAATCAGGTCACCTCATACCTGCATACAGAGCTAACTTGACATGCCTTCCAAGGAAGAAAAGGTTCAACAGAAGAGGTTGCTTGCATCCCTTCTGCCCTAAAAACTGAGCTCTTGGTACTGATACCTTTTTGCTAAAAGCTTTTTTTTTCTTTAGCTTTATTGATATATTTGATTTTTCTTAAATCAGATGTGAGGCAGCCCATGGACCAGCAGGTAGTCTTCTTACCCATGCAACCCCCAATCTTTGGTATTAAGTGAAATGCAAAGATAAAGCAATTACAGAGAAGGCAAGTGATTTATTTGTTCAAAGTTATAAAACAGCTGCATCCAAGTCTACCTAGACTATTTACATTGTAAAACCTGTAAATACAATTGAAACACTGTACAGTAGTAAGCGGCTGGCACCACACCTGGGCTGGCCTAAGGTTGTAGAGCTAGATCTAAATACACAAACTGCAGTGCAAGATAACAGAAGGGGAAAGAGGTGGAGAAATATATCTTGTTGTTACACATTTGTTGCTACTTCAAACTGACACTAAGCAAAACAACTGGCACAGGAGTGCATGTAAGATGTGGGCTTCGGAAGGGAGAACAGAACAAGGAAAGGCATCAGAGGTGCTGAAGCAGGGATAATGTCTGTGCCCAAAGTGCAGCCATCCACTGGAGTTCAGTTCTCTGCTTAGCAGACAACAGCCAAAGAGTGAAGAAACACCCCCAAACCACAGATCTTCCTTTGTAACACAGATTTTTGGGGCTAACAAAAGGACCTTGCCTCCCCAACTCCTACGGAGTGCTGTTCTCAGCCAGCATTTCAAAACACCATGGAAAGGGGCTATCACGGCATCTCCATCCCTGGGTCTCATCTACCCTATGAAAGGCCAGCCGAGGCATTGGGAAAGTCCCCTTTACCAAATGAGCTGACTTCCTTGTTTTCAGAATATGATACGTTTGCCATCAGCTGGGTTCTGCTCCATAGGGCAGTAAGGGCATTTCAGTCTGAGGATAGAAGAAAACAGCAAAGGTTCAGAGACCAGAAACAGAAATAGTATATTTGTCAATACTGCAGTTGATCCGCCTGGCTAACTGGTGTTTCTACCTTGAGTGTATTCCTTTTCTAATCCAGCCTCCACAACAAGAAGTCTCCCTAACACGTTGTTCTGATGTTACTCTTTTACTCAAAAACAGGCAATAGACCACCCACAAAATAAAAATATAATCCTGGCATTCAAGTCTCTCCATAATCTGATTCCAAACTGCTCTTCTAGCTTTATCTAATACTATTTTATCTTCACATATTCTGGAGGACTGATATATTCCTTCCCCCCCAACTCTGTCTACTGAAGCCCAGATGCTCTACCTCCTTGAATTTTTCATAATATTCTGCCTGAATCTCCCTCTTTTCTATCAAGGTCATTGGTGCACTTGTCCTTCCCCTATTATAAAGCGTTTTGAGAGTAGGACCTATGTCACATTTAATTCTCAGTGCCTGGCATAAGGGCCTTGCATACAGTTGACAGTTAATCAATTGTCGAAGTGAATTTATGCCACACTTACTATCTAACACGCAGATGACCGTAAGTTCACGTTCTCAGAGGAGGTAAAATAAAACTTACTTTCCTCCATTAATGAGCTTGTTGAGGGCATCCCTAGAGATGACATGACCACAGATGAGTTTGATAGGTGGATTGGAATCTGAAGTTTGCTGGCGAAGGATGGGGCAGGCGAACACAGAGTGGTACCAGCACTTCATGCCCAGTTCAATTTCAATCTGTTAAGAAAAGGCAGCGCTGAGCTCCATCCCCCTCTGCTCCCTGTAGCTGCCACCCTATCATGTCCAGCCAGGACTTACAGGCAGCTCGTCCTTATGGCTCCAGACTCCCGTGCACTGTCTCTGCTCAATCACTGCTTTGATGTTCATTAACACGGGCAGTGCCACACACCCAGAGGCAAAGCTGCAGAAAGGAAAAAGCTTAGTGCTCTGAGTCACAAGACCTAGGTTTGAATTCGAGCTTTGCCACCTACTGGCTGCGTGATCTTGGGCAAGTCACTTCCCCTCTGAGCCTCACTTTCCTCTAAAATGAGGGAACTGACAAAAGAACAATACACATTGACAAAAGGTGTAAATGAAAAGATCACTAAAAGGAAGCCAAACAGTACTTGAAAAACCACTGGAAATTAAAAAGTATACACCCCCTCCACAGCAGCAAGGTCAAGAATTATCAGTACAAAATATTTACAATGTCCAGGGCAATTATTGTATGGGATGTTTCTGCAATAACATAGGATTCAATTTGGGGAATAAGAACAAAAGAAATCATATATATGCCCCTCAGGTCTGTTTCTCCCCAGAAGTCAACTAAATATGGACTTGGATTTTAAGCAATCTTTTCTAGAGCTAAATAGGATCCTGGAAGCTTTGCTCTAAATTCTATGTAAATCTATGGTCCTCTGGTCTCTAGACAGGGAAGCCCAGGTCCTATTACTACTCAAAAAACTGGGCTCTCCTCTCTCACTTGTCCCCAAAGAACTGAGCTATACCTGACACTGAGGGGGGACTCCACGGATAGTCCAAGAAGAGCACAGGCATCTCGAGTAAAGGTCTCACAGATCTCTGCCCAGTGACTATTGTCCAAGAGGTGACAGTAGGGAGACTTCTCAATGCCCAACCGGAGATATACAAGGCTTCCCATCATCACCTGGATCTCTGCAAAGCAATACACAGGCAGCTCAGGAAGTGGCTAGGAATGCTGGGAGCTTGACCAACACCACACCTACATACAATAGCCTCCTCTTTATACCAAGTCCTGGGAACAGAGGGTTTAGAGCTGGAAGGGAATTTAAGCCATCTCCCTCATTTTTCATCCCAGAGAAGTGACTTTCCCAAGGTCATACAGGTAGTAAGCAGCAAAGGTAATATTTGAACTCAGGTCCTCTGATTCCAAATGCAGCATTAGTTCCACTACACCATACAGATCCAGGTCCCTGAATAGAGGTGGGTCCTAATTATTTTGAGTAGAAAATGAAATGGAACAAGTAATTAGGGGGAAATTGGCATTCCTGTCACTTTAAGGTCTAGTGAGGAAATCAGGGGCTAATTTTCAGAGGACTCCTAACCCACCAGCCAACTCCTTGCTAGGTTCTTGGTCCCCTGGATCCTCAGCACTCTCACCCCGTTGATGCAGCCGTGCAAAGGGCTGGAAGTGCCGTGCATAGTTCAGGGCTTCCAGCTGCTTCTCCGGGCCCCCTGCCAGGAGACGGATGAAGTGCAGTCGGTGCAACTTAAACTCCAGGGAGCTATTTAGCTCCAGTAGGCGCTGCCGATTTGCAATGGCCCAGCTGGGAAGGAAAGATAGGTTACCTCAATACTCAGCTGTGTCCCAGAGAGAATACCCTGAGATGGTAGCTATAATTCAGGAAAAAATAAGTAACAAAAAGATGAGGCCTTTGACAAATTAGCGTTATCACCCAAAGGAAGGCGCTTGTGATCAGAAGCGTCATGTTGAAATGGTAAATAAAGGTAACAGGCATGTCATCTGTATTCAGTGCTAGGGACCTAGATGCTGAACAGCAAAGGCAAGACGAGATTTACAAAGCAAAGCACTTTCTTCAGGTAATACAAGCTCAGAAAGATTAGGTGACAAGCCCAGAGCTAGAGAATTGGCTTTCTAAGAGTTAGGACCCAAACTTCCTTTCTAGTTTCCCAATTGCAAAGCCTGGGCTCTTTCTAAAAGTGTCTTAGATCTACAAATCCCAACTAGGAGCCCATGAATCCCACATGGCAACCCTCCCCTCCTCCATACTCTAAAGCTGGTCGAAGGTCTTGTTCATGCAAAGCTTCCAGGATCCGATTTAGCTCCAGGAAAGGTTGCTTAAAATCCAAGTCCACATTCAGAGTTGATTCCTGGGGAGAAACAGATCACATTAGGGGCGAATATAACCTTCCATGCATTCTGTATGTTAGATGCCATTAGAGATGGGCATAAGTTTGGAGGGAAGGATACTTAAAGCCTAGGTTGTGGTGAAACTCTACCAACTGCTTAAGAACTGAATCTCTACCTCTGCCCAGCTATGTCGTTCCCTTCTTATCTATACCCTCAGATCTGCTCCAATCCAAATTAACTGGAAGATACTTTAAGAAGCCTTCAGTACCTGACACAATTCCTCAGCAACATTCAGCATGCCCTGCTGGTAGAGGTGCTCCACAATTGCCATCTGCAAAATCTGCTGCTGCTTCTCTCGAGAGTCCCACACAGTATCGGAGACCACACCACAAATCTCAGCATCAAAATTCTAATAACAAGAAGAGGAGAGAGCCTATTGAATCCTCTCAGCCAGGTGCACCTTCCCTTCACTAACAGCTCCAACAACCCTCTCATTTCCTCTTTTATGCTCCCGTAATTTTGTCTAAGAACTCCAAACCCCTCAACCCAGAGTATATGCAGGAAAAGTAACTAGAGTTCACTGAGGAAAAGGACCAGAGACTTTCATGGTTAAACCTACTTTCCCCAGCCTCTGAACCAGGCCTTTTTGCATCTTATTCATTTTAATATTTGAGAAACTTTTTTTAAGTTCCTGTTGTGTGTATCTCCTACTACAAATGACAACTTGGACACTGAGCTTCAAGGTGAAAGCAGCACTTACCCTGTCAATGGCTTTGCCCACTCTGGAAACACTGCTGTGAATGTCCTTATGGTCTGATGCAAGTTTCTGCACTGTGTCCTTGATTTTCCGGCAGCACTGAGACATCACTACAGAAAGTGTGGCTGAGAGAGGCGTCCCCTGAAGAGCTATACAGCACAAAACAAGGATGAAGTCAGGGTATCACTCCAGAAGGAATGCCCAGAGTCACAAAGAGGCCCCAGGCAGGAACCTGCTCTGACACAGGCCATTTTTCTTTTTCCCTGCCTGAACAAGAAGTTGCCCTGTCTTTTCCCATCTGTCTCCTGTCAGCCGAGACCCCTTCATGATACAAGGAGGGAAAGTAATGAATGTAACAAATGCGTCTAATGTTAATAAACTTGTGAAGAAGCTTCAAAGGAGTGGAATACACTGGACAAAACTGCTCTCTCGTTCCCATCAACCACCATTGACTGAGCATCTGCTACATCTAGGGCCTAATGCCAAGCTATGAACCCTAGGAGACCCAAGCCTTGACCAAGGAACAGAAAACAGAGAAAAGTGGCAACAGTGTATTGAAGAAAACAATGGATTTGGAATTGGGAGATCTGGTTCAGAGCCTGTGGCTGACAGTTGCCATAAGCAGGTCATTTTACTTCTCTACCCTTATTTTCTTCCCCGTAAAACAGATTTAAGACCTGTACTGCCTATCACACAGAAATATGGTAAGGAAAAGTGCAAGAGACTATACAGTATGGTGGAAAGTGTGCTAGATTTGGAGACGACCTGGGTTCAAATTCTACCTCTGCTATTCACTACCTCCATATCCTTAGGAAATTCACTTAATGTCTCTTGGGGGGAAAAAATCTTTTGACCTCAGTTTCTCATCTGTAAAATGAGCAAGTTGAACTAAACAATATAAAAGTTCTCTCCAGCTCTAAATCTATGGATTCCATGATCCCTATGTACACCTCAAAGTGCTACATAAATGAATTACGGATGTTATTTTCATATAGTAGCTGTCAACGGTTTCCAGTATAGCTAGAAAGACAAGGCAGGTCCACAAATTACCAAAATGCTGGGAAAATATCATAAAACATATGGAGGAGAAAAAAATCACAAGGTGAATTGTGATTCACCCTTCTGGACCTTTATGAAGTAGAGAGGTGGCTTCCAGATCTAAGTACAATACATAATATTATACAGTCAGTGCATTAGAAGAATATAAAACAAAACACTACATTGGGTTAAAGGCAGTAAAAACAGGTAGACTTCCTACAGGAGGCTGCATTTGAGTTAGATGAGTAGAAATTTAACAGGCAAACGGAAGAGGTGAACCATTTCAGACATAAGTTATAGCATGAAGAAAGGTGGAAAGGTAGGAAAGGGCAGGATTTGTCTGGGTGGGCAGAGAAAAATTCAAATGAGGTTTAGAGTTTGTGGAAGGAATATGAGATAAGGCTGGAAAAGTAGGGTGTCCCTAGAATGTTAAAGGCTTTGAGGAAGGAAGAGAAATATAAACTTTACTTGGTAAGCAATGGGAATCATTAAAGATTTCTGAGCAGAGGCACAGCATAATCATATTTATGCATAAGTAAGATTATTCTGGCATCAGTATGAAAGAGAAATTGGAAGGGGGAAGATTTGTTAGGAGGTCATCACAATAATCTAGGTAGGTGGAAGAAGTGGGAATAGAAGAGGGGAAATACAAGTGATGTTGTGGAGATAGACTCAATAAAGCCAGTAACTAACTGGATATGAGAGGTAAGCAAAAGGGAAGAGCCAAAAATACAATCTTATGATTTCAAACATCAGAGAAATAGTGAAGAGTGATGCCACTGACAAAAACAGTGAAGAATGAAAAGTGAGTTTAAGGAGAAAGATAAAACCAGTTTTGGACATGTTGAATTTGAAGTGCCAGTGGAACATTTAAGTGGCAAATTTTTTGTAGGAAGTTGGAAAGAAAATAGTTTTTGTAAACCTTTAAATATTATATGAGTCATTATGACCAAAGGAAGTTGAGGGTTCAAATCAGGGTTATAAACAGATGAATTATTATTACTGAAAGGACGTAGAAACATAAATGTGAAATTACACTGATCTATGTGGGCAATCCTTCACAACTACTGCATTCTCTTTTTTGCTTCTATTTGATTCCCAAATTAGGCATACTAGTATACTACTGCCTTCAAGTGCCCGGACAACTGAAGAAATAGGTAAGTTAAGGCTTGGCCAAATCCCTTTTGAGACATAGCTACTAAGTCTCAGGAAAGCAACCTCCTCACTGGCCCCAGCCCACAACAGTGACAACCTCCTTTGTTCGCATTTTTTTGGTTAGGCAATGGAGTTAAATGACTTGCCCAGGGTCACACAACTAGTGAGTGTTATGTGTCTGAGGCCGGATTTGAACTCAGGTCCTCCTGAATCCAGGGTTAGTGCTCTATCCACTGAGCCACCTAGCTGCCCCAACAGTGACAACCTCAATCAGCTAACACGTATTAATGAAAGCACACTTCATCTCGGAGGTCAAAGGCAGTGAAAGTGCTTACCTGCACTGGTGAGTTCCTCCCGCAGCTGGCTCACATAGTGCAGCAGCTCCTCTAAGCTCTTTTCACAGTGCTGTCCGTAACTTAAGAATTTCTGCAGAACTTTGTCAAGTTCTCGCTCCACACATGCACACTGCTCCATTTCTGGGCCCCCAACCTAAAGAAAACACGAATAGTTCAATTCAACAAACACTTACTAAAACACATACACTGTACTGGGAGTTGGGAATACAAAAACAATCCAGTCCTCAGCCTCAAGGATTTTGGACTTTGAATGTACTCTTTGCCTTTTCTTCTCATTTGCTTTCAACAGCCTCCAACATTGCCATTTGTCTTTGAAAGTTTCAGTTCTAGAATCCAAACTCTCCAGCCACCTATAACATAACCCCAAGAAACCTCTTACCCAAACATGAACCCCTCAGTTTTATTATGAGGGATCCCTTCAATTCAATATAACACAATAACTATTTATTAAACACTGTAAGACACTGTGATGGGTACATAATAAACGCTTCTGAATAAATACCTCATTTCTATAGCCCTTTAAAGTTTGCATAACAATTTATTCACAACTACCCCACGAATAAGAAGTTATAGGTGCTATAATCCTCATTTTACAACCAAGGAAACAGCAGTTCAAACAGGTAAAATACATTATCACAAAGCTAGTAATTGTTGGATCCAGGTTTTAAGCCCAGATCTCCAACACTCTTCCCTCCTGTTACAGAGTAACATTTCCACAATCCCTAGACACCTTCAACTTCTGACTCTTTACAAGTAACTCCCAGCATCTGCTCCTTCACCTCCCCACCCCAATTACCTAAAAGCTCTGGACTGACATCCAGAAGAATCAAGTTCTAGTCCTAGGCCAGCCTCTGATTCCATCTGTGGCCTTGGGAAAGTTCTTTCCCCTCTCCTTGGCCTCAATTTTCCTATATTTAAAATGGAAACAGTTGGGCCAGATTTCTAAAGTCTTCAGCGCTAAGGTCTTGTGATTTTGTAACACTGTTACTGCTTTCACAATCTCACTCAATGTATTTAGCACATAGTAAGTATTTAAATGCTTTTTCATTCATTCATTCATTTCTCATTCTAGGACTGTGGAATTCCCTATTTGGGGTCTTTTTGTCTTTACAAACACCTAGACCCTGTCCTTCCACATACTTTGTCCAGAATTGGCCAGGTCTCCATTCGACCCTCTTTGGGCCTAACCAACCCCAACACTAAGACTGAGGTCATTATAGGGAGTGTGATTTTTATGCCTTTTAAATGGCTGATAATTCGATCTGCTAATAGCTTGACTCATCTAAAGTGCACTTGCTGAGCAGTCTTGAGTGTCTTGGAGAGGAAGAGGATACAAACGAGAGAAAAGGTGCGGAGCAAGACGGGAGGCCGGGAACCTTGTATGACTTTGGTCACTCTCTGGACCTCAGTTTCCCCAACTATAAAATGTGGAGGCTGAACTCGAGGGTCTCTTAAGATTCCCTCTCACAGAACTGAGGGAAGGATGTGCGAAGGCAGGAGCCCTCCCCCACCCCCGACACAGGGTCTTCCGACTCTGACCTAGGGCTCTTGGAGGCCGCCGCAAGGCCGAGGGTCATCCGGGACCGCCGCGTCCTGCCCAGGTCCCTCCCTCGCTTTGCCCCCCCCCCCCCCCCCCCGGTCCCCCCCCCCCCCCGCCCCCCCCCCCCCAGTCCCGGATCCCCGGTCCCCCAGGCCCCAGCCCCGCTTCCCGGGTCAGGCAGGCCCCGGCCTTGTTGGACAATGCGGCCGTCCCTGCCCGGCCCCCTGCGGACCGCCTCATCCCCCTGGCCAGCCCGGCTCAGCCTCGGGGGTCGGGGAGGGCGCTCACCTCGGCCCACCTCAGCCCCGGCCCGATTCCGGCGCCGCTGTCAGCTCAGAACCGGAAGCAGAGACGGTTGCTACGACGGTCTCGGACTCGTCCACTGCGCCGGCTTCCGCAGGGGGGGTGCTCGGTGCTACATACTGAACACGGAGCCGTCCACCGCATGCTGGGCGCGGGTAGAGGCTGCTCCGACCCTCCCAAAAGCCGACTAGCCCCTTTCCGGTTCAGAGAAATGGAAACGGCCCCGGGAGAGTGGGACTAAACCATATGAATCCACCTGGAGGGGGGTGGGATACGCCAAAACAGAGACCAGAAAATTGGACCATTCCAGAGGAAGAGCGGGTCCCAGACACCCGCAGAAGAGGGCTGTGTAGTCATGGTAACCGGGCAGGGACTGCACTGCCCCAACTTGAAGCTGTGAAAAAGCAGAAAGATGGGGGGGGGGGGCTAGCGGCGGCGATTGGGGAAGAAGCTTCCAGCCTCCGCACCAAAAAGAGCATCACGTGTGTCCTGGATTTTTATCCTCCATCTCCTATCCCATGTGCACTATCCTCCATCCCGTCCTCCATTCTCCATCCCAGACCGCATTCTGCATCTCCATAAACCATCATATGTCCCCTGTCCCCCTCGAACCCTATCCGTCCTCACCTGTTTTCCTCTGGCCATAACACATCCCCATGTCATCGTCCCAGCCCAAGTCCTCTGTTCTCCCAACCCATGTCACATCCACTATCCCCGATGCCATTCTTTCCATCGCCCATTGTATAATCCATTCCCTCCATGGACATCCTATGCCGTTGGTTTTCTATTCTATAATGCCATTTCCTGACTACACCCTTTTCTCTCCCTAACCCCAAGTTTTCTGTCTCTACCCAGTCCCACCCCTTTGGAAACAGCACTGGAGATTCATATGAACCTGGGACAGGACAGAATTTCTAAACCAACATCTAGGAATAATCCATTCAATTACTCCTTTTACATTGTATCACTTACTTTGAACAAGATCTTGTGCTAAAGCTGAGGATAGTACAATGATAGGTGTGATATGTCACTCTGCTGTCAAGGAGCTTAAAATCTAATACAAGAGGTACACAGATAACTATGGTACAAAGGAGAGTGAATATAATCAAAGGGAGTTACAAACAAAGTTTGAGAAGAAATTTGAAGAGAACATCACTTTCGTCTGGGTACATCAGGAAAGATTTCATAGAAGCCAGACAATCTCAATAAGCATTTTTAAAGTACTTATTATGTGCCAGGTACTGTACACACTCTGCAGCTCACACTGGGAAAACAAAAGACTCCCCCCACCCCCCCAAAAAAAGTCAGTTTCTGCTCTCAAAGAGCTCATAGTCTAATGGGGGAGATAACATGCAACCAACTATGTACAAACAAGATACATACAGGATAAATTAGAAATAATGGAAAGAGAGAAGGCACTAGGATTAAGGGAAATAAAAATTTTCTTGTAGAAGATAGGATTTTAGCTGGGATTTCAAGGAAGTCATGAAGTAGGGATGAGAAGAGAGAGAATTCCAGGCTTGAGGAACAACACCCAGAGTTGGGAGATGGAGTGTGTTGGTGGGGGGGAAGTATGGAGGCCAGAGTCACTGGCCGAAGAGTCAATCAATCAATAAGTATTTATTAAGAACGTACTATGTGGGCAGCTAGGTGACGCAGTGGATAGAGCTCCAGCCATGGAGTCAGGAGGACCTGAGTTCAAATGGTACCTCATACATTTGACACTTTCTAGCTGTGTGACCCTGGGCAAGTCACTTAACCCTGATTGCCTCAGTAAAAGAAGAAAAAAGAACATACCATGTGCAAGCACTGTGCTAAGCAGTGGGGATAAAAAGAAAGGCAAAAGACAGTCACTACCCTCAAAGAGCTCACAGTCTATTAATAGAGGACATAACAGGAAAACAACTACATACAGACTAGATAGATTTGAGATAAATTGGAGGTAACCAATAGAGAGAAAGCATTATCATTAAGGGGGATGAAGGAAAGGCTCCTTGTGGAAGATGGGATTTTAGCTGGGACTTGAAGGAACATAGGGAAGTCAGGGAACGGGGATGAGAAGGGAGAGTATTCCAAGTACAAGGAGCAACCCTTGAAAATATCTGGAGTCTAGAGGTTACTGAATGACAAAATACATGGAGGAGAAAGGTATAAGGAAAGATAGGAAGGGACCAGGTTATGAAGGGCTTTGAATGATATACAAAGGAATTTATATTTGATCCTGGAAGTGATAGGGAGCCACTGGAATTTATGGAATTGAAGGGTGACATGGTCAGTTTCCTCATCTGTAAAATGAGCTGGGGAACTAAATGGCAAACCACTCTAGTATCTTTGCCAAGAAAACCCCAAATGAAGAGTCAGACACAACAGAAAATGACTGAATAACAACAATGGTCAGACTTGTATTTTAGGAAGGTCAATTTGACCACTGAGTAGAAGATGGGCTAGAGTAGGGAGAGATTTGAAACAGGGAGCCAGGTCTCAGTGACAGTCAGAAAATAATGAAGTGAGAAAGGAAAATGATTTAAGGTGAAAATGAGTTTGTTACCTATGGAGCAGGCATTCCAGAAAGCACACTGGGAGGGGTTGGTAGCTTTAGAAGTAATATCTGAGTTGGGTTTTGGAGGAAAGAATAGATTTCAATATGATATGAAGGACAGAGAGGAGTGGAGTCCATTTTAGGCAGGGGATGAGGATTGAGGTTGGAGAGTAGTATGATGCAGCTAGGTGGTAAAGTAGATAGAGTATCTGCATTAGATTCAGGAAGCTCTAAGGTCAAATCCTGACTCAGATATTTATTAACTCTGTGACCTGGGCAAATCATTTAACCTCCATCAACTCAGTTTCTTTATCTGTAAAAGAAAAAAAATAGGACCTACATGACTGGGTTGTTATGAAGATCATATGAGGTAACATATATAAAGTGCTTTGCAAAACTTAGCATGCTGTAACTATATAAATGCTATCTATTATTATTATGCAAAAGCAAGCTATATTATCTTTTATATCCCACAAGTTTCTCCAAGGCTGTGTCCTAGACCCTCTTTTCTTCTTTCTCCACCTCCTTCTCTTCATGATCTCATCAGCAACTATCTGCTTCAAGTTTTAAAATAATTTATTTTTAAAATCTTCAGTAACCCCCTATTGCTTCTTGAGGATAACTCCTCAGTTTGTTATGACTTTAAACAAAGACTTCACCTCTCTAGGCCTTATAATCCTCATTTGTAAAACGAGAAGATGGCACTGGGAACTCTCTGAGGTCCTTTTCGACACTAGACCTATGATGTTAT